GACTCTATCTCCTACACGTCCGTAATGTATGGTATCGACACAGAACACGACCACTCACACAAGAACGACCACTTCCCTGTCAAGGCTAACCTCGCCTATATCGTCGAGACCACATACCAGCACGGCACGCCCAAGCTCGACATCGCTAAGCTCGACTCCGAGACAGCCAAGAACGACTTTCAACGACGCCTGCAGCAGATCCAACACCCCCCCTGGGAGACCAACCTCAACGACCATACTAAGAGCATCGTCGATCAGATAAAGGACGCAGCCTACGCCAGCTTCAAGAAGCAGCATCATGCCCCACGCAAGCCCTACATTACCGAGGCCTCATACGCGCTTCTTCGCTTTCGACGCACCCTCCTCAAGACGATCCGCATCGTGAAAAGGAATGGCATGGGCTCCAAGATATCACGCAGACGGATCCGATACACCGCGCACCTCATCGCAAACCAGACGGCTTCAGCGTCCCCTGACGACGTCATCCACCTCATGGACATCCCTGGATATACTCAGCTGATGATCAAGACCATCCTCTTTATCAACCACGCGGACCCCGACCAGACTACGGCTCCATACCACGACAGCACCCACTGCACAACCACCTTCACTACAAACCTTTTCGACTCATACATGAGCTTCATCAAAGATACCGACAGAGTTCTTAGGAACCGCCTCGATCACGACCGCGACGCCCACCTCGAGCGCCTCTCCGACAACATGATACTATCAGCTGCAGGGAACGCCCCGCGGCAGGAATGGGCAAACGTGAGGGCATTACTAACATACGGCGGCCGCACACCTAAGAGAACTCCGACTCCCAAAATACGACAAGACGATGACGGCGCTCCACTTACAACGCCACAAGCCATTGCGGAGCACGCCCTTCGATACTACGGCAACATAGAGAACGGCATCAACACCGACATCGAAGGCGTCGTCAAGTACTACAACAACAAGACTGCCCACACCAAGCCGATACCCCACATCGACAACGTCCAGACCATCCACAATCTGACATCCGCCCTGGCAGCCGCCAAGAAAGGCAAACGCGGCGGGCCCGACGGGAACACCGACGACATGGCACGAGCAGCGCCGCGCCAGATTGCCCGACTTCTGCACCCTATCATGATGAAGATGCAAATGATGACGACGGAGCCTATTTCGGCGAAGGGCGGTTTCTCCACCCATTTCTCCAAAGGACAAGGACAGCTTCATCTGCAGAAAGCATACAGGGGCATCCTCCTGAACAACACTATAGGAAAGATCAACAGCAAGTTCCTGAGAGGCCTCTTCCGCGACATCCTACCCGACCTGCTCATGGACACACAATGCGGCGCCGTCCCTCACAAGGCGACCGACTTCATCACTCACACCGCCTACACTTTCTTGGACGACTGCCGTACACAGGCTCGCACGGGCAGCATCCTCTTCCTGGACTTGAAAGAAGCCTTCCATTCGGTAATAAAGGAGTTCATTTTTCAGCTGCCGACTCAGGAGGACGAGCTCGAAGACGTCATCGACAACATCGAGATTCCCATATGCCTACTCCCATCCCTACGACAACGTCTTCGCTGCCCAGCACATCTCAACGCCCACGTCGACGACTCTCACCTCTGCGCCCTAGTTGCCGACCACCACACGGCCAACTGGATGACCGCCAAGGGCACCGACGCATACGTGATCCCTCGCACCAGTACCAGGCCAGGGGTGCCATACTCCGACGCAGCTTTCAACGTGCATTTCTCCCTGGTGCTTCAGGCCATCGCCGACGACGCTGAAGGGGCAGAAGACGGCGAAAGCGGCCACCACATCAGCCCCTGCGACAACCCGCTCTTCTCTACGGCCCCTCACCAAGGCGGCAAGCTGACCAACATGTCCTTCGTCGACGACCTCACCGACTTCAACTCGACCACACACCACTCCGACATCATTGACATTACGAGAACTTCAGCTGAACGTCTATGCCGTACAGCCTTTACATACGGGCTCAAGCCACACCCAGACAAGACCAAGGTCATCATCTCCTTTAACGGGACGGGCTCCAACGTCGTGCGCAGCAGGCTTGCACAGCAAAACATTACATCAATCAAGTTGAGCATCATGTCGATCTCGGTCCAAATCACAGACCAGCACCGACTATTAGGCACCATCATAACCAACGGCAGCATGGGCCCCGAGGTGCAGAATCGCATGCAACGAACCGACGCTTCGGCACGAGCTCTGGAGAGGCAAATCCTAAGACGTCGACGCCTACCCCGCAAAACGAAGATCAAGTACGTGCACGCCCTCTCGACTGCCTCATTGACCTTCAACCATCACGTCTGGCCAGCACTGACTCAGACTGACCACCAGCGCATATCCAACGCCTACTCGAAGCCCTATCGCACGGCAGCTGGATTACCCAAAGTTAACTCGCAGCTTCATCATTTCACGGCCACCGAAGTAGTAGCCTACACCGGCATCCCCGACTTCGACCACCACCAGTCTGCTGGACGGCTGCGATACTTACCACGGCTTCTACGACACGCTCCTCAGCAGCTCCTACAACTGCTTGACAACCAGCGACGGAGAAAGGGCTCATGGACATACATGCTTTTCCAGGACTTCGACTTCCTGCGCACATACCTGGACGACCAGCGCTGGCCCACGACCAGCAAGCTCGACCCCGACATCATCGCATGGGCTCGCACCACGCCGAGGCACTTCACCAACTCCGTCAACCTGGCTGTCACAAACTACATCCGCGCCTCTAAAGACAGTGCCCACGCCGACAAGCTGACCAAGGTGCTCAGACCAGACGGCCCCATCGGGGCGGGCACCACGCCATCACGTGACAACGGCGACAGCAACTTCATTTGCTACGAGTGCGGAATAGTAACCAAGACAAAGCAGGGAATGGCAATACATATCGGACGGGAACACCGACGACCTGATCATCCGCGAAACTGGGCATCGGGTACATCGTGCAGAATATGCCGCCAGAACTTCCACTCCTTCGCCAAGCTAGTGAAGCATCTAACCACGGTAGCCCGATGCCGACGGTCATGGTATATGTGGTATTTACAAGGACCTGCCCTCACTGAGGAGGGCGTGGCCACCAATCAGGCGATCTACGCGGCCAGCATAGCCGACAACAAACGCAGAGGCCGCCCCGAACTATACCATCCCATCCCTGCCCACGCATCCGACGTCACCCCATTACCCTCCCTTGACCTATCACCTTCACCACCGCCCTTTTTCCCGACTGTAGCAGAACTTACACCACCACCACCAGCCCACTACCCTCGGACACCGACCAGAAACAGATCCCTGCTTTACCTCACCAACACCGATAGACACCCGAATGATCTGCTCGACATCACGGACCAACGACTATGCTACAATGGAATGGTTATGGAACTGGCTACTATGACCTTCGACGATCTCTACTCCGCCGAACACCCATCCCAGTACGACGCCCTTGACTTGATCCACCAGCACATTCGACAGGGTGACTTCGCAGGAGTTACGATCAACCTCTCACCCAGCACTTGGATCGACCAAGGTGATGGCGACATCCACGACAGAACGGCAGCATCCTCCAGAACAACCTCGGACCCATGGGGAAGAGTAAACCTTGGAGGCAAGGCAGCGGAACGTCGACTGATCGCGAACCACCATGCCCGCCTAGCCATCCACATCTTCCATGCCGCCCACATTGCAGAAGTACCTGTACTACTAGCGCAATCCGCAGCCCCAGCGGGTCCGTCGCTGATGTGGACGACCGAGCAGATGCACTACGCTACGGAGAGAACTGCCACGAGAAGACCGACCAGGATTGACTCCACCAGCAACCTCTACGCCATTTACGACGGCACCTCCCACGAACACAGCAGCCCACTCGACGATTTCGTCGACTCCGTCTTGAGCAGCCTGCTCCCTGGAGGTCGGACTGCAGCCTGCAGATCCGACGACCCGAGCTGGCCGTAACAGGGCCCAAGAGCTTCGAGGCGGACGCCTACCGCGGCAAGATGACCGTAGGGATCAAGGCGGCCGCCGACACCATCACGAACGCCCCCTCAATGGAGAGGGGGGGGAGGACACGGTCCAGGCGTGACCTGGGCCGCCGCCCGCGTGAAGGCCTCATGGGGGTGGACTCCCTTCCTCCCCAGGCCTTTAATGAGCCCCCTCCCCCCGCCCCGCTTTGCCACCCCCATGTGGCCTCTCCCTCTTCCTTCCCTCTGCCCCGAAACTCCTGGGCACCCTTTTTTTTCTCGGCCCCTTTCGGCCCCCTTCGGCCCCCGCCCCTCCCCCTGCGAGGCCTAGGCGGCTTCTCACCCTTGCCCTCCTGGCGGGGGCCCGTGTCGGGGGGGTGGCCCCCACTGCGTGCCTCGGGCGCGCGCGCGCGGCCGCGGCCGCGCGAACGGCTTCGTCTATTAGACATCGAGCCGCGAGCGAAGCGAAAAAGGAGGAGGAGGAGGAGGAGGAGGAGGGGGGGGGGAGACAGGTGCCCTCCTCGGGCCCGGGAGGCCCCCGTCTGGGCCCCTTTTGGAGGGCCCTCGAGGGTCCCTTTTCGGCACCCCTCTCCCTGGCATCGCTCGGACGTGTGCCTTTTTCTCTCGGCGAGAACCATCGAGGACCATCCTGGAGCATCGAGCAAGAAAACGCACGAAGTCGAAAGATGCACGGGAAATGGGCGTCCGAGCGACGGCAAGTCGCTGCCCCCCCCCATTGAGCCGTCCCCTGAGGTCCTCGCGCCGCCATTTCGCTCGGTCGGGCTCCAGGGGCCCTCGCGGGCCGATGCAGCTCGAGAGCTGCCGCGAGGCAGATCGGGTCCGGGGCTCCAGCGGTGATTTTCCACAGCGCCTTTTCTCGCGACGTCGGATCGTAGGGAAATTCATTCGGCCGAGGCGGGTGCAGCCGCGGCAACGAGAAGTCTCCAGGAGGCCCAGCAGAGGGCGGGAGGCGCCAGGGAGAGCCGCCGTTGTTTCGACCGGGGCCCCTCTCCGCGAGAGGAGCGAGTCCGACGCGTCGCTGCTGAGGGGGGCCCGAACGGACACCACGCTCTGCCCACAGCTGGTGGTGCCGAAGAACTGCACGCTGCAGTGCGCGCTCCCGAGGACCGGCGCGGAGAGGAAGATGCCGGCAGAAGCACACAAGCATTGAGTCGGGCATGTCCCTCTACAGGGGGGATAGATTCAAACATCGTCAAACAGTAGTTTGGGGGACGATGGTTTCACCTTTTTTCGCCACCTTTTTATTTCTTTTTGTGGGGGGGGGGCTATTTCCGATGCTTCGTCCAAAACCTGCCTGCAGGGGGGGGCGTGCCCGACCTGATTCGGGGAAACGTAAGACCCGAGTAAGCCGGAACTCGGGTTAGCCGAAGTTTTTTGACGAGCGCGTCCAGGATTTTGACGGTCCGGTTTTCGTGGGACGTTTGCAGCGGGAGCCCGCGTCAAATTTCAGATTGGATTTCGTCATTTTCATAAGGCCCCCGTTAATGGAGGATGACGATTGATAAATGACCGGGGGTCGTGTTCACGCGGCGGCGCCTGGGATGACGATAGAAAAAACCGGCCGCGGGCTGGAGAACTATGTCTTTTAATTTTTCTCCTCCAGTCAGAAGATTCTGCAGAAGTTGCAGGAGTCTATGTTTTAATCGTTCCCCCCCCCCATTTTTTTTGAATCGTCACCCCGCATTAGGCCCACCCGAGTCCCCCGTACCCGAGTCTTTCGGGAGACTCTTCATGGGGGGGGGTCCCATGGGGGGATAGGATCCCAGGGGGGGGGGATCCCATAGGATCCCCTGGGGATCCCATGGAGAGTCCCCCGTACCCGAGTCTTACGTCTCCCCGACTGGTGCAGGCAAGACGCCGAGGTGAGGGCCACGCGGGGCTCGGGAGGGGGGGCTCGCACCGTCGGGCCCCTCGCTCGGGCCCCTCGCTCGGGCCTGCGGCTGCCCTCGGCCTCCAGGAGCCTCCAGGAGGAGGAGGAGGAGGAGGAGGAGGAGGAGGAGGAGGAGGAGGAGGAGGAGGAGGAGGAGGAGGAGGAGGAGGAGGAGGAGTGAGGAGTGAGGAGTGAGGAGAAGGAGGAGGAGGAGGAGCAGGAGGAGGAGGAGGAGTGAGAACGCAGGGGACGGGAGGGCGGAGGAACACGGGAAGGAGGCTTCCCTGCTCCTGCTCCTCCTCCAGGCCTTCGAACCCCCCATGCAAAAAAGCAATTGGTGTTTTTCTACACGTCTCTCCCCCCCCACACACCCCAGTTTCGATGTTCAACGCGGTGCCGATTTTTTGTGTTCGAACGTCGCCGGTCGCGCGATCAGCATGGAGATGGGGGACCACGGGGGCTCACCGAACACCAGTTGCGTCTCGCACGGGGCTGTGGGACCGCCAAGAGACGGCCCCAGGCAAAAATTGGCCCCTGGGAACGAGTCTAAACCTTTGGGGTCCACGTGATTGAGAACTTGTGTGCGCCAGGGCCACTTCGGTTTCAGGAGGGGCCGTGGTCTTCGGGCGGCTCCTCGGCTCCGGGTCGGGGATCATGTTCGTGGCCGAGGTTTGCGATGGCAAGCAGAGCCCCTTCGTTCCGTGCCCGGCGTTCCTCGTTCAACTTTAATTGGATAAGAGTTGCGGCTTCTCTTCCTGCTTCTCCTCCTCCTCCTCCTCCTCCTCCTCCTCCTGCTCCTCCTCCTCTTCCCTTTCCTGATCATCCCCCTTGCCCTGATCAGCCGGCGCAGAGTTTCACCCACTTTGCTTGCCATCGCTCGGTGGTGAGCGGGAAGCATGCCAGGAAGCTGGACGCTCTTGTTTGGTCTGCGACGACGTGAGCGATCCCACCGCGGTCGAAGGGGCGATGGGGTTGCAGGGGCACGAGCGCGAATGGCACAGGAGGAGAGGCGAGGGGGGAGTGGGGAGAGGCGGCCGCGGAGAGGGCAACGACCGAGGGTACACTCGGAACATGAAGCTGGATACACGTCACGGGGCTGGCCTGAGCGACTGGATACACATGTGGGGCGTTGCAGAGAGGGCTCAGGGATCGAGAGGTTGATTCTTGTTCCCTGACGGAAGGGCGTCGGAAAGCAGCGGAAGGAGCACATGGATAGGCGAGTCCGCCAGCGAAAGGTGACAGAAGGTTGGCGGAAGGCGGCGCGGGAAGAAATCGTACCAAGAGATGCACAGGTTGTTGGATTCAGGGTTAATACAACGTGCTGAGTTAAACAGCGCGGACTGCAGAGGTCGCGCAAGATGCGCGACGAGGTTCCCATTAGGCCCCGTGGCCCCGGTAAAATGTTACTACCAGCCTAGGGATTCCCCAGTCGTTCAGGAAGGCGACCAGGGAGTGTTTTGGAGGAAGTAATGGGTGGCATCGCGAGTCTCCGGTTCCTCCATCCTCCCTTTTAATATCATAATCGCCAAATGGGGTGGGAACCGGAGAATCGCGATTCCACGCAATAGTTCCGCCAAAAACATTTTCTTGTCGCATTCCTGAGAGACTGTAAATTTGCTCTGGCGACCAGAGGTTTACGATTTCGCTCAGGGCATCCTTTGCAAAAGTTCTCCGGTCCCATTGCCAGCCACCCGAGACTTGCGAATTCGTGTGTGAATTCCCCAGGGGAAACCAATCCAGATTGTTATCGAGCTTGCGCTGATCCGCCCTTTTAATCCAGGAGGTTGTAGAGCGAGCCAGACGGCGCGGTTGGATACACGTGCGGACAGATGACTATCCTGCGCTAGGTCCTTCAACGACCGTATAGGCTGGCCCCGCTTCTGGATGTCCCACACGTGAATCTATCACGCGTGTTCCCAGCTGGTACACCCTGACTCCAGATCCGCCCTACTTTGGCTTTTTTCCTATTTAAAATTGCGTCGGAAATCCACCTATAAGGAGCCGAAAAAGTAGGGCGGAAATTTTTGCACCCAACATAAAATAGGGCGAAAATCCACAGAAGTAGGGCGGAAACAACAACAGAAAAGTAGGGCGGAAATTGGCATCAGCGGGGCTTGAAAAGTAAGGCGGAAATTCCAAGCCCTACTTACGAATTTCCCCAAAGTATGGCGGATCCGGAGTCAGGGCAGCCAAATATTTGGGATGAGGTTCTCTTTGGTCTCTGAAGGGGCGCGATGTTCCTTGAATGCTCGATTGGGTTTGGGACTGTTTTCGGACTCCGGGCTCCCCCGCTTGGCCCGAGCACTTGACAGTTATATTCGAGCTTCTGAGGGGGGTCTCGGGTTGATAGATTTTGATGGGTGTCGGCCATGGAAACGAAACCTGCTGTTTGATGCCCTGCCCCAGGCGCTGAGAGAATGCTGATGGGGGTTTGATGGGCGCTGCGCCCCCCCCCCCAACACCTTGATGGGGTTTTGTTCGCGGCGCAAAAGGTGCATTTCATTGATTGGTTTTCGACGATGACCAGTCGTCGTTGATGCGTTTGGTGACACGCAGTAGGTTGCTTCGCGCCGTTTGCGGTTCGCGCATAGTTTCAGCGTTCGCGGCGGCATCCGATTCCAAGGCCTCTCGTCGTTCTGGTCGTCCCCTTGCGTTGTGCAGCATTTGTTTTGCCCGTGCGCTGCTTCGCGCAATTCATGAATGACGTTGTCGTGTCAAATGCAGAAAACTCGCCTCCCATGTTATCATAAGTCATTTTGCATCCTCCTCCTCATCATATCAGTCGTCGATCGACCTTGATCGTTTTTGTTCATATTCCTCTTCATCATATCAATCATGCATCTCCTTCTCCTCTTCCACCATTAGTTTCTCCTATCTCCTCCTCCTCTTCCACGATGCATCTCCTCCTCCTCTTCCACCGCTTCATCTTCCTCTTCGTGGATATGTTCCACGGTTCGTCTCTCCATAGGCAGTCTTGGGGCCATATCGGCTGTCTCGGGGCCATCATAGGCTGTCTTGGGGCCATAACGGCAGTCTCTGGGCCATCATAGGCTGTCTTGGGGCCAACATAGGCTGTCTTGGGGCCATCAAAGGCTGTCTCGGGGCCATAACAGGCTGTCTCGGGGCCATCATAGGCTGTCTTGGGGCCATAACAGGCTGTCTTGGGGCCATCATAGGGTGTCTTGGGGCCAAACCAGGCTGTCTTGGGGCCAACATAGGCTGTCTTGGGGCCATAACAGGCTGTCTTGGGGCCATCATAGGCTGTCTTGGGGCCATAACGGCAGTCTCGGGGCCATCATTGGCTGTCTTGGGGCCATATGGGCTGCCTTGGGGCCATCATAGGCTGTCTTGGGGCCATCACAGGCTGTCTTGGGGCCATCATAGGCTGTCTTGGGGCCAACATAGGCTGTCTTGGGGCCATCATAGGCTGTCTTGGGGCCATCATAGGCTGTCTTGGGGCCAACATAGGTTGTCTTGGGGCCGTCATAGGCAGTCTTGGGGCCGTCATATGGTGTCTTGGGGCCATCATAGGCTGTCTTGGGGCCATTACAGGCTTTCTTGAAGCCATGTCGGCTGTTTTGGGGCCCATAGGCTGGTTAGGAAGCGTGCGGCCATCTTGGAGCCGCCATTGGCAATCTGTGTCCGGCTTGAGGCACCACTGGGTCCTTCAATATTTGAGTGGAGGCGGCGTTGTCAGTTTTGGATTGAACGCCTTGACCAGAGCAGTGGCCGAGAATACACCATTCATGATTCCAATCAGTGCACCATGACACGTTCCTCGTTCTCATGATTTGGAGTTTGCTTCAGCCGTTTTGGCAATTGAAGGAGTTTCGTCACCCGACCTCCGCTTAATGAAGCTGTTCTGCTGCACGCTTTTCTGCTGCACGCGATTGATGTTGGATGCTGCATCGGAGTCGGAAGAGGATTTTCAGATACCAGTCCCAGCAGTCGCATCGGATTCGGATGAAGAGTTTCAAACACCAGGGCCAGCAGCTGCAGATTCGGACGAAGATTTTCAAATACCACCACCAGCAGCAGCTGCAGGTCATCTCGTTGCCGTTCCAGCCCCCGTTCAACCGATGGCTGCCCCTGAGGTTTTTCGGATCAGCAGTGCGAGCTTGTATCATCCAGCACCAGTGGTGAAACATGGGGTTCGGTTGATATCGCGAGAGGTCAGGGCGATCTGTGATCGTTTGGAGCCTTTGCCAGAGGATGCAGTGTCATCTGGAGTCCCATGTC